TCCCTCCGCCTTAAAACGAAGGTACACACACTCCACCGGCGCCCTAAAAGAGCCGCTACAACCGGTATGCCACAACTCCCGCCTAAAGGTAACGGTAATCACACTCCCCGCCTAATTCGAGGCAACCGGCGTTGACAACTTCCCTCCCCGCTAAATGTACCCGGTACAACTCCCCGTCTGAAAAGGACAGTCTCGGTCAACACCACTCCCGGCCTAACCAGGCTAACTGGTTTACACAGACTCTCCGCCTAAAGGAAACCGTCGATACACTCCGCCGGCCTAAAGAACGGGCTTATCGCCACGCGTAACAGACGTCCCCGGCCATAAACCAACCATCACTCATGGCCCTGACCTCGTGTGCCGGTGTAACGCTAACCTTCCCGCCTAAAGGGAAACGTCCGGCCGGTCCAAACAACCTCCCCCCGCCTGAAAGGAACAGCGCTAATACAGACCTCTTCTCCCCCGGCTCTAACCTAGGAACCCGCCTCCGGTAACAGACCTCCCCACGCTTGTGTGGGTAAGGGAAGGGTAACAACTCCCCACCTTTAACAGGAAGCGGTAACACACACTCCCCGCCTAAAGGCAGGTAGCCACCAACTCCCCCACCCGTAAGAGGAAGCGCGACGGTAACAAAAACCTCCCACGCTAAAACAGGAAGGCCGCCGTAACCAACTCCCCGCCTAAAGGAAGGGTAACAACTTCCCCAGCCTAATAGGAACGTAACAACGCTCCCCCGCCCTAAAGGAAGGTAAACAACTTCCCCACCTTATACCAAGCGAACTCCCGGCTTCAACAAACTCCCCCGCCTGATAAGCGATCTATCCGTCCATCCCCGGGTAACAGACTCCCCACTCCGCCTAAAGGAACCCCCCCTGTCCGGTAAAACCCCGCCTAAAGGAAGGTTAAACAAACCTCCCCGACTAAAAGGAAAGGTAACAACTCCCACACCTAAAGCCGAAGGTAACAACTCCCGGCTAAGGAATCGGTAACAACTCCCGGCCTTAAAGGAAGGTCAACAAGCTCCCCAGCCTAAAGAAAGGGTATACAACGCTCCCCGCCCTTAAGAAGCGAAGTACAATACTCCCCGCCTAAAGCGAAGGCTAACAACACTCTCCCGCCTAAAAGGAAGGTAAACAACTCCCCGCTAAATGCGAGCGGTAACAACTTCCCGCCTAAGCAGGAAGGGTAAGACAACTCCCCGCCTAAAGGAAGGTAACAACTCCCCCCTAAAGGAAGGTACCACAACTCCCCACCTAAAGGAAGGTCAAACAACTCCGCCACCTAAAGGAACGGTAACAAACTCCCCGCCTAAAGGTAAGGGTTAAGACAACTCCCCGCCTAAATGGAACGTAAATAACTCCCCGCCTAAAGGAATACGGTAACAACTTCCCGCTGAAACGGAAGTAATAACTCCCCGCCACCTAAATTGAAGCGGTAACAGAACTCCCCACCCTTAAGCTGAGGAACGGTGAGACACGACTCCCCCGCCTAATCAGGAATGCGTTTACAACTCCCCGCCCTAAAGGAAGGGTAACAACTCCCCGCCTAAAGGAAGGTAACACAACTCCCGCGCCATAAAGGGAAGGTAACAAACTCCTCGCTGAAAGGAAAGTAACAACTACCCCCATCTAAAGGAAGGTAACACTCTTCTCCTAAAGGAACCCCCCGGGGCTAAGCAGAACTTGCACCGCCCCTAAACGCGAAGCGCTAACCAACTCGTCCCTCCGCCTCCACAAAGGGAACCAGGGTAAACAACTCCCACCTAAAGGAAAAGGTAACAGGCTCCCCGCCTACAAGTGAACGCGTAACAACTCCCGCCTAAAGGAACCGGTAACAACTCCCGCCTATAAGGAAAGTAACAAGAACTCCCCGCCTAAAAGGAAGCCTGGTAACAACTCCCCACCTAAAGGACGTAAAACAACGTCCCACCTAAAGGAAGGTAACAACTCCCCACCTAAGGAAGGTAACAACTCCCCGCCTAAAGGAAGGTAACAACTCCCCGCCTAAAGGAAGGTAACAACTCCCCGCCTAAAGGAAGGTAACAACTCCCCGCCTAAAGGAAGCTGGTAACAACTCCTCACCCTACAAGGTAAGGCTTAACACACTCCCGCTAAATGGAAGGTAAACCAACCTCCCCGCCCATGAAAGGACACGTAACAACTCCCCACCTAATAGCGAAGGTAAACCTCCCCGCCTACAAGGAAGCCGTAACAACCTCCCCGCCTTAAAGGAGGCTGGTAACAAACTCGCCGGCCTGAAAGGAACGGCTACACAACTCCTCCGCCTAAAGGAAGGTAACAACTCCCCGCCTAAAGGAAGGTAACAACTCCCCGCCTAAAGGAAGGTAACAACTCCCCGCCTAAAGGAAGGTACAACTCCCCGCCTAAAGCGAATGGTAAAAAACGCCCCGGCCTAAAGGAAGTAAACACTCTCCTCACCGTAATAGGAACTGGTGAGTCAACTCCGCCCTAAATAACTCTGCTCCGTCCGTTTCACGCCATTGGCGCGACAATCCATACATTCGTAGAATTGTACCTTTATCAGAACAGACGTTCTGTCCTCTTGTTACTCAATCAATGACACTTCAATGTATCGTTCTGTTGACCTCTCTCCGTGACCCACGATGGCAGCTGGTGGTCGAACGATGCTGCCACCTTATAGGAGACAAATAACGTTTTATGTTGTGATATTTCCGGGGTGTGACCGTCATCGCGTGTCATGTGGGGGATTTTAATCATATGACGGCATCGTTTATTGCCATGCAGCACGTAACCATGGCTATATTATTAATATATACTATATATATATATATACTACTGATATATATAAACCATAGCTACAAACACACATATATAGCTTCTGACGAAGAATTATTGAAAGCGAATATGAAATGACTGTCTCTGTTTGGCACGCGATTCGTTGTTTCCTGGCAAGAACAGACGGGAGCGCCTGCGGAGCGAGGCGAGACGAGAGATAGAGTGATGCGATGGCGAGCGAGAGAGAGAGAATAGAGCTTGACGGCGAAGACGCGAGCGAGGAGAGAGAGACCGAGGAGCGAGCGACGAGAGAGAGGAAGATGTGAGTCGCGACCGACGAGCGAGAGACGAGAGAGTAGAGAGAGAGGGTTAGGAGAGGGAGAGCCAGAAGAGAAAGCTGACGCGTGTGTGTATCTCTGCTGTGCAGTAATGTTCGCCTTGGCCGGAGGGTAGCTGGTGAAGTTTAACTACATGATGATGGGATACTACAGAGTGAGCTATTAGCCCACAGGAGTGGCTGACGCTGGCCAAGCTACTGCAAGGAGAACACCTAGCGTGGTAAACACTCACATCTCACTCCACTTCTCTTCCCGTGTACTCACTATATGCTCCCAGTATACTATTCTCTCAGCCTCTCTCACTGTTTTTTTCTCTTCCTGTCCTCACGCTCGCCTATGCATTGGTCGTCAGCTTTCGTCTTTTCTACTTAGCGTCTGTAGTGTGTGCCCGTGCGTGCGACTCGTGCGGTGCGGTGTCGGTCGGTTTGCGGTACGACTGTGTGCTGTGTGTTGTATGTGGTGTGCGTGTGCGGGCCGTCGCCGGTGTGTGTGTGCGTGCTGTGCCGTGCGCCTGTGTGTGTGTGCTCTTGTGATCTGGGTGTTTGGTGTGTGGTGTGCCTGTGTGCGTTGTGGTGTGCCTGTGCTGTATGTGTCACCCGCTTGTGCCTTGCGTGTGCAAGTGTGTGTGTTGTGTGTATGTTGTGTCTGGGGCCCGGCGCGGTGCCTGCTGTTGTGTGCCTGTGTGTTGTGTGGCTGTTGTGTGTGTGTCTGCGCCTATATGTGTGTGTGTGTGTCTGTGTGTGTGTGTGTGTGTGTATGTCGTGTGCGTCATGTGCGTGTGTGTTGTGCGTGTGTGCCTGGTGCTCGTTAGTAAAGTCCCCATCCCGCGGCAAGCTGTTGGGATATCAAGACAAGCATGTTCGTGCCCTCGTTGGCAAGGGACGTGGTTAGTGTAGCCTGGCGAGCAGACGTAGTAGATGCTGCGCAGCATGCGTCCATCAACGCTAGCATAGAATTATATGCAACGTCTATAATTTGCGTTTACGCTGCCAACTTTAGTAACATGTATCCTCTCAGGTTCAACCCGGACCGGTCCGTGAATAGCGCCCTGATGCGGCGCGACAGGCCGGCAGGCATCATTCACGTGATGTCTTGTCATCGGCTCTCCCGTTAACAAGATGACAGGTATGGGATACACAAACGGGTTGACGCACCGACGAATTGCGGTGTCATGACATCTTGTTTCCAGCACTACACGCGTAGATGTTGACCAAACGGTTGTTGGACTCACACACGCGTGGATAACCGCTCTTCGCATCCTGGGCAGCGTGGGGACGTAGGTGTCGTGGGCGGTGGCGCTGGGTGGCGTGGGCGTGGCGTGGCGTGCGTGGCGTAGTCGGTAACGGCGTGTTGTGGCGTGGCGTAAGCGTGGCCGTGCCGCGGGGGCGATGCGTGGCTCCGTGGCCCGTGGCGTCGGCGGTCGCGTGGACCGTCGCGTTGGTGCCCCCGTGTGGTGCGTCGCGCGTGGCCAGTCTGTGGTGCGTAGCCGTGCGTCGGCGTTGACGTTGGCGTGGCGTGGCGTGGGCGTGGCGCTGGCGTGGCCCGTGGCGTGGGCGTGTGCGGTCGCGATCGCTGGGGCGTGACGTGGTCCTCGGTTTGCGTCTCGGCACCGCATCTCCTAGCGTGCGTGGCGGTCGGTGACGTGGCGTGGACCGTGGGTGTGGTGGCGTTCCGTGGCGTCGGCTGGGGGCTACGGGTGCGGTGTGCCGGTAGCCGTAGCGCTGCCGTGGCGCCAGCTGGGCGTAGGCGTGCGAGGCTTAGGCGTCGCGTGCTAGCGTGGCGATCGGCTGGTGGGGCGTCAGCGTGTCGTGCGTCGGTCGTAGGCGCTGCCGCGACGTCGGCGTGGCACGCCGTAGCGTTAGCGCTGCGCGTTGGCGTCGGCGTGGCGTGGCCGGGTGGCGATGCGGGCGTGCGTGGGTGGCGTGGGCCGTTGTGGGACCGTCGGTGTGTGCCGGCGTGTGCTTGTACGTGGGCGCGTGGGCCGTGGCGTGCGCGTTGTGCGCGTGCGTGGGCGTTGGCGTGGCGTCGTGCGTGGCGATGTTTCCGTCGTCGGGCTGCCGGGCGTCGCGTCGGATCGTGGGCCGTGATCGTTGGTCGTGGGTGGGCGTCGTCCGGTTCGCCTGGCGCGTCGGCGTCGGCGTGCCCGACCGCTGGCGTCGGCTGGCCGTGGCGTGGCATGGCAGGCTTCGCTTGCGCTGCGCCTGCGGTGGCCGTGTCGTGGGGGCCGGGGCGGGCGCGGGCCGGGGGCTGAGGCGGGGCGGTCGCGCCAGCCCGCTGGCGGCACCGGCCGGGGCGCGGCGCTGCGCCCGCGGGCGGCGGGCCGGGCAAGCGGGGCGCGGCGCCGGGCACTGGGGCGGCGCGGGGCGGGGCGGCGGATGGCGGGGGCGGGCGTCCGGGGGCGGAGCGGGGCGGGGCGTAGCGGACCCGGGGCCGTGGCGGGGCGTTGGGGCGGGGCGGAGCGTCCCCCCGCGTGGGAGCGGGGCCGTGCGGCCTCGGCGGGGCGGGGCGACGGGCGCGGGGCGCGTGGGGCGGCGGCGGGCGGGCCGGGGCGGGCGCGGGCGGCGCGTGCGAGGGTCGTGGGGGGCGTGGACGTGGCGGGGGGGCGTGGCGCTCAACCGGGCGGCGGGGGGCGGGCGGGTCGGGGCGGCCGGCGGGCGTGGCGGGGCGGGGCGCGCCGTCGAGGCGGCGCGGGGGCACGGGGCGGGCGGGGCGGGGCGGGGGGGGGCGGGGCCGGGGTCCGGGGCCGTGGCGTGGCGGCGCGTGCGATCGGGGCGCGACGTGCGGGGTGGGCGGAGCGCGCGGGCGGGACGGGCGGGGCTCGTTGTGTTTGCGGGGCGGGGCGGGGGCGGCGGCCCCGGGGCGGGCGGAGCGGGGCGGGGGCGCGAGCTCCCCCCGCCCCAGCAGCGGGCGGGGCGGGGCGGGGCGGGGCGGAGCGGGGGGGAGCGCGGGCGTGCGGGCGGGGCGTTGAGTCGGGGCGGGGCCGGGGCGTGAGGCGCGGGCCGCGAGGGGCGGGTCGGAAGCTTGGAGCGCGCGCGGGGGCCGGGCGGGGCGGGGGCGGCGGGCGGGTGGGCGCGGGGCGTGACGGGGCGGGCGTGGCCGGGGGGGGGCGCGGGCGGGGCGGGCGGCGGGGCCGGGGCGGCGGGGGGGCTGGCGGGGCGAGCGGGGGCGGGACGGGGCGGACCGGCGGCCCCCGGGCCGCGCGGGCGTCGCCTGCCGGCCGGCTATCCGGGCGCCGACCCCCCGCGCGCCGCCCCCGGGGGGCGGGGGCGGGGGCGGGGGGGGGCGGGGCGGGACCGCGGGCCGGGCGCCGGGGCGGGCGTGAGGACGGGCATTGGGCGGGGCGGGCGTGCGCGGGGGCGGGGGGGGGCGGGCGGGGGCGGGCCGGGGGCCGGGGTGCCGCGGGCGGGGCGGGGCGGGGCGGCGGGGGCCGGGGCGGGGCGGACGGGGCGGGGCGGGCGGGCGGGGGGAGCCGGGACGGGGGGCCGGGGCGGGGGGCGGGGCCGGGCGGGCGGGGGGGCGGGCGGCGGCGGGGCGGAGCGGAGCGGGTCGGGCGGGGCGCGGGGTCGGGCGGAGCGGGGGGGAAGCGTGGAGGGGGCGGGGCGGGGCGGGAGCGGGGCGGGCGGGGGAAGCGGGCAGCGAGGGCGGGGGAGCGGAGGCGGGGCGGAGGCGGGGCGGGGCGGGGCAGCGGGCGGGACCGGCGGCGGGCGGGGGCGGGGCGGGGGCCGGGCGGGGCGAAGCCGGAGCGGGCGGACGGGGAGCGGGGCGGGGGGGCGGGGCGGGGCGGGGCGGGCGGGGCGGGGCGGGGGCGGGACGGGGCGGGGCGGGGCGTGGCCCGGGGCGGGGGGAGCGGAGGCGGGGCGGGCGGGGAGCGCAGGGCCGGGCGGGGGCGGGCGGGGCGGGGCGGTGCGGGGCGGGCGGGCGGGGCGGGGGGCCGGAAGCGGGCGGGGGAGGCATGGGCGGGCGGGGCGGGCGGGGGGGGCGGGGCGCGGGCCGGGCGGGGCGAGCGGGGGCGGGCGCGGGGCCGCGGGCGCGGGCGTGCGCGGGTCGGGGCGCAGGTCGCGGGCGGTGCGGGGCGGGCGGGGCGGGGCCGGCGGGGCGGGGGCCGGGGGCGGGCGGGGCGGGGCGGGGCGGGGCGGGGCCGGGGCGGGGCGGGGCGGGGGGGGCCGCGGCGCGAGCGGGCGGGCGGCAGGCGGGGCGGGGACGGGCCGGGCGGGCGGCGCGGGGCCACGCGCGGGGGGGTGGCGGGGAGTCGGCGGCGGGCGGGGCGGGGGCGCGGGCGGGCGGGGGCCGGGCGGCCGGGGCGGAACGGGCAGCCGGGAAGGGAAGGGGGGCGGCAGCGGGCGGGGAAGGAAAGCGGGACCGGGACCCGGGGCGGAGACCGCGGACAGGAGCGAGATGCACGGGCACCGCCGGGGGGAGCGCAGGCGCGCCGCGCACGAGGGAAGGCGGCCGGAAGGCAAGAGCAGAAAAACACACCGAGACAACAGCGGACGGCCACACCGGCAACGAAACCAACCGCGGGAAGCGGGCGCGACAAAGAGCGGCGCGCAACAGGAGGAGGGAAGAAGGGAGCAGGGGAAAAGAAAGCGCCGGACACACACACACACACACACACACACACACACACACACACACACACACACACACACACACACACACACACACAAACACGCACACACGCACACACGCACACACGCACACACGCACACACGCACACACGCACAAACACGCACGTACGCACTCTCTCTTCATTTAGCATCAGTGCACGTTATTTTGCAAAGATGTTGAGATATATATCTGTGCGCTTATGCCGATCGGATGTAGATAGTGTCATCAGTAACAGTTTGGATTATGCGGAGTTAACGAGCACATTGATGCCCGCGATTACACGCAAACATAATATTTTATATTGGTCTTAACGGTCTAATTAAAGCTCTGAAAGTTCATTATTTTTGACAGAAATAAAATCGTTGAGGGAAATATCGCTGCCGTCCAAGCCCACCCACGTCCCGATACTGCAGAACAAAAATCAATTTCCTTATTGCGCGCGCGTGTGTGTGTATAGCACGCACGATGCCTCGGCGGGTGGTGGGGTGATTCAGTGAGAAGAGCTGGACCGCCGCACTGATGACAGTTACTGTCCCTTGTCGGCACTTTACGGAGTGCGAAGCAGGCCCGACCCTCGCTGGGGTTGTCGCCCGGCGCGCGCCCTTCCGTGGCGTCGTCAACGACGGCGCTGTCGCTGCCGCCGCGCTGTAAACGCATGTCTGCCGGTCAGCCTTCCGTCTCGTCCAATCTCGTTACCGGTGACCGCTCTGTGGTCAGTGATGACGTCACTCGTGGCGGCGGCGGCGGCGGCGGCGGCGGCGGGGGGGGCTCCGTGGCTTCGCTGTTTTGCTTAATGGAGGACCGTCGGTGCCGCAGCTGCGCCTGACTGCCGCAGAGCAGCCGGCGGATGTGTCGACTTTCCTTCCGATGTCCCCGCCAGCAGATTGAGCGACGCCGGCGTGCGATCGGCAGGCAGGCATTGTATGCCGGAGATGGTGGTCAGTGCGTGAGAGCAGAGGCGGGGCGGTGTGGGTGCGCGTGTGTGTGTGTGTGTGTGTGTGTGCGTGTGTGCGTGCGCGCGCGCGTGTGTGTGTGTGTGTGTCTGTGTGTGTGCATGCGCGCGTGCGCGTGCGTGTGTCTGTGTGTGCGTATATATGTGTATGCGTGCGTGCGCGTGCGCGTGTGTGTGTGCATGCGTGCGAGCGCGTGCGTGTGGCTCTGTGTGTGCGTATATATGTGCATGCGTGCGTGCGCGTGCGTGTGGCTCTGTGTGTGCGTATATATGTGCATGCGTGCGTGCGTGTGCGTGTGTAAGCGGAGCGAGAGAGACGCTCTCTCTACCTCTCTCTCGCCGTCGGTCTCTCTCTCTCTCTCTCTCTACCTTCCCCTTTCTCTCTCTCTCTTCTCTTTCTCTCTCTCTCTACCTCTCTCTCGCCGTCGCTCTCGCTCTCTCTCTCTCTCCCTCCCTCTCTCCTCTCTCTCTGTCTCTCTATCTCTCTCTCAGAGAGATAGAGAGAGAGAGAGAGACGAAGAGAGAGAGAGAGAGAGAGAGAGAGAGAGAGAGAGAGAGAGAGAGAGAGAGAGAGAGAGAGAGAGAGAGAGAGAGAGTACGAGAGAGAGAGAGAGAGAGAGAGAGAGAGAGAGAGAGAGAGAGAGAGAGAGAGAGAGAGAGAGAGAGAAAATTTTAACAGA